ATGGGGGCGGGGTGGTTCGCCTGGCACTTTACCACTATTTATGTTCCTGAAGCGTGAGTTCGCAACAGTTGCGCTAGTGGAGGGGGGGGGGAGTGATTTCAAGCTGGGGCTCTCGCCTGAGCGCCGCGCACATCCGTCTCACATACCATTCGCCTCGCAACGGTGGAACGCAAGTTGTTTTCAGCATGAGCATCTCGCCTATTTATGCGCCGCGCCGTTTCGTCCTCTCCTCTAAAGCTTTCACCCGTTACACTGATGGAGGGCCGTTCCTTTTCAAAATGGTGTTCTCGCAGTAGCGCCCCGCAAATTTGCTCTAAACTTGGTGAAGGTTTTCAGGGATGGAATACGTTGCGTTGCCGAAATCTGGCTCTCACTTCAGATTTCCTTCAACTCAAAAGGTAGACATGTCAGCACCCACAGTTGCATACTATACACATGTTTCCATATTTGTTTGTTACCTCTCCCTCTCTCTCGCTATATATATACACACCTATCTTTACACATACGTACACATACATTTTTAATATATATATATATATATACATATACATGCGTACATTGTGCAGCTGCACGAATGGGAGACAGTCCATCTTTCAAAATGGGGCCCTCGTTCGAGACCTCTCGGCGTCCGTGGTCAGAATTTTGTGCAACAGGTACACGGGCGGGGAGCGGTCCTTGTCCAACACGTGGCCTGTCTGGCCAATTCGCTAAACTACATGACCAGACCTTTTCCCATTCATGCTTATGCGCTAGAAGTATGCAAGGCAGTTCCTGTTTCACCATGTGGCCCTCGCCTGAATTGCAGGCCAGTGGGCTGCTGGTCTTTCAAGAGTGTGCTTCTTGTCGTTGACAGAAAGGTGTGTAGGCACTACTGAGAAGGGAACATTGAACGACAGGCTGCGTTGCAGCATTGCTGATGCATCTCGGGATCACTCTGGTCCTCCTCCTCCTCTCTCTGTCTCCTCGCTCTCTCGTCCTTCCTCTCTCTCCTCTGCTGAACAATTGGGCGTATGTGAACAACACGTAGTTTCTTGCGGGGGCAGGTGCTGCTGATAGCGCAGAACCGTATCCTGCACGAGTTCCTCGAGCCGCGCTTCGAGGTTCCCCCTCCTCCTCCACAGGCGACGGTGGGCAGAGCTTCACTGGGACAGGCCTCGGAGAAGTCGGAAGATGCATCGAGTTAGCCAGTTCTAACTAGTCAGCGGGCCTCATCCTCTCCCAGTCTCGCCCATAACAGAAGACCCAAGGCTGGCGCAACTTAATGTTGGGACTGGCGCGCGTTCCAACCCGTAACAGACGAAGATGATGGCCGCGCGCGAGCTGGCCGTCCCGAAACAAGAGGTGGGACGATCTGCACAGCAGCGCGTGCCGGATGTACTACACAAGGTCGCAGATTTACTACATCTTGCAACTACGGATGATTGGGACAATATCAAATCAGGAGACATCACGCAATGAGCGAGTGAGTGGGCGCGTTGTGATTCATTAAGTGGTTTTGTTGCACATACATTTTGTTATCTTTGTTCACATGCTGGTTTTGCCCTCTGTCCGTCCTCTGCATGTGTGTCCGTCTCTCTGTCTCTCTCTCCCTCTCTCTGTCTTCTCTCTTCGCCTCTGCTCTGTCTCACGCCTCCCATTCTCACCCACAGCGGCGCCCCGGCGCCCACCTGCTGTGCCCACGCGGCACCTCGACTGCAGTCCGAATCCGAATCCGAACGGAAGGCGCTCCTGCGCGGTCTCCCGCTTCTGACGACACTGCGAAGGGAAAACGCAGGCCACACATCGGAAGGAGCGAAACTTCAAAAAATGCAGGCGCGGCGCTGCGGCGAGAACACCATTTAGTCCTCAGAGGGCCAAGTGGTGCTCTCGCCCCAAGAGATTCGCGCGGCAGTTTTTCCGATCAGAGCGGCGGAGACAGCGCGTGCGCCGCGCGGAGGCGGCATCGCCACTTTCACGCGAAGCCTGCGGAACGCCTGGGCGAGAGCAGTGTGTCGCTCGCTCGCGCGCGGCCCCACCGCCGCTTTCTGGCGACACGGCGAGCGAAGCATAGATTCTGCGTTCGAGCGGGACGAGGTTCACGGGAACTGTCTTCGGATCTTGGGCGAGGGCGACAACTCGCCCGCTTGCATGCGGCCCCGATCCCAACGGCCAGGAGGGCGCAACAAGAGCGCCATTCGGATGGGAAGTCTCCGCGGCGCTTGAGCGAGAACTAGATTCAGCCCGCTCGCCCACGAGCCAGTCGTCGACGAGCTGGCAAGCGAAAGATGCTCGTCGCGCCAGGCGGGAGCTCAGTTCTTAAGAGCAAGTAAGCGCGGCGCTCCGGCGAGAGGGACATCTTGCTATCTTGCGCGCGATGTATGCCCCGTCCCAGTCCTGCTATGGGCTCTGCAGCGTCGGCAGCAGAGCGCCCACGCTGCGAGGAGAACGTGTGCTCTGCGCTGTTTTGTACGTTTAAGATGGCATAGGCGGGTGGGCGAGAAGGAGGTGGAGGTGGGGCTGGGCCTGCTGGCCTGTGATCTTCCGCCGCGGGTGGGGCGTTTCGGCGCCCGTGGCCTCCGAGACGGCGTGCCGTCGTCGTCGTCGTCGTTGTCGTCGTCGTCGTCGTCGTCGTCGTCGGCGGCGCCGGCGGCGGCGGCGGCGGCGGCAGCGGCTGCGGCGGCGGCGTGGTCGTCGGCGTCGTCGTCAGGGGAGGGGTCAGAGGACGAGCGGGAGCTGGAGGTGTGCGTGTGGGCACGCCCGCGGGCGCTGTGCCGCCCACATCCCCCCCTCCGCCTCCCCCGCAGGCGAGCGGCGGCGAGGAGGGCGGCGCGCCGGGCTCCGGAGGGCCGACGCAGGACATCGAGATGGTAGAGGTCTCGAACTCCTTCGAGGACTGCTCGGCAGCCAAGCCCTCGCCATCGCCGTCGTCGCCGTCGTCGCCGTCGCCGTCGCCGTCGCCGTCGCCGTCGTCGCCGTCGTCGTCGTCGTCGTCGTCGTCGTCGCCGTCGCCGTCGCCGTCGCCGTCGCCGTCGCCGTCGCCGTCGTCGTCGTTGTCGTCGTCGTCGTCGTCGTCGTCGTCGTCGTCGTCGTGATCGTTGTCGTCGTGATCGTCGTCGGCGTCGTCGTCGTTTGGGCCAGCCGTAAGGGGTGCCAGGAGGGGGGGGAGGAGGAGGAGGAGGAGGAGGAGGAGGAGGAGGAGGAGGAGGAGGAGGAGGAAGGTGAGGCGGAGGAAGGCGAAGGAGGTGGAGGAGAGGGAGGAGGGAGGAGGAGGAGGAGGAGGAGGAGGAGGGAGGAGGAGGAGGAGGAGGAGGAGGAGGAGGAGGAGGAGGAGGCTAACGGAGCAAGCCATGCGGTGCAAGCCATATTGTGCAAGCTATGTGGTGCAAGCTGTGTGGCGGAAGCTAAATGGTGTAGTATTTGCGGCTTCACCTACGTGGTGCAAGTTATGTGATGTAAGCTGCGCGGCACAAGTTATGGAGTGTAAGCTGTGTGATGTAAGCTGCACTGCAGACTCCACATACCCATTTGATACCCATCTTCTGCTCCACCACATCCTTCTCAACAACGGGCAGCGGTACAACTCAGGGGGAGGGATAGCCACCGTATGAGTACGACGCCTGAGACGAGTGAAGTCAATTTTGCAGAAGGCCTTGCCGAGCTCCTGATCCTGCCACAGCGCAAGACACTAGCCCTGCAGCCGAGCGAGCGAATCCTCGCCATCTTCCACTTCGCTTAGGGACTTGACGCCCGAGAAGACGAGCCTTGCCCAAGGATTGGCATAGGCAGTGAGACGACCCATGTAGTCATACAGAGGCCTGCCGTGGACATGAAGCTGAGCAAAACGTGCCGTGATACCCTGCACGTGTCGCCTAGGGAAAATTAATAATCTGCACAAGCTATTTCAAACGTGTCACCCGAACGTCCAGGACAGTTGTGGTAAGCCTCCGATGTCGAAATACAGCTTCATTAGATAGTGTATGCCTGTGTGTATTTCCATCCCAGCTGACCCCACTCCTCTCCGCAACCCTACAGTACTTAACGAACGCCGGGTCGCTACGTTTACACTATCCTTCCGTCACTAAGTATGCCTCCATTGTAGATATGCCAATTTCCTGATCCTGAATGAGAACCGAACGTCTCAACCTAAAAGCCACATCATCAGTAGGCCAGCCAAGAAAACGAATTGATATTTGCAGCGCTGAAATACGTTCAGAAACCTCCACCGTGATAGCCCCCCGTCCCATGAATCTGACCGCCCCAAACACGCATAGACGGCAGCACGCCGCCTGAAGAAAGAGAGCTGCCCGAGCTGCGCAACTGTCGGTTGGCAGAAGCAGAGCCTTGGCCGACGAGGGCGACAATAGTGTTTTGTTTTTTGTTGCCCACCCTTTTCCGACCAAGGCCTCACCTAACAACCGATTGGAGAACGCATTCGTAGCGGCAAGCTCAGAGAGGCAGGCGTCCAGCAGAGACACTTTTGGACCACCCGCGATGTCCGACTTGGCGAGGTCGTCTACATAATTCGTAAAAACTTGCAATTTCCCTTCAATCCACCAAAAAGAACAATCGACCCAGAATAACTCCTCCATCGCAAGTGTCTTCATCGGTTTCTGATTCAAAAACGTACCCGGATATTCATATGCTCGTCCAAAGCTCTCTGTTGCGAACGGTCACCCACACGCGCACCACAGCGCGGGCGAACAACAGAAAGCCGATCACGAATCGGTAAAACAACAGTGGTTGCAAGAAACGCTTAAGACCAAAGTTGCAGCCTGGAGCGGCGACAGCGTGGAAGACACCAACGAGAACAACTAGCAGGATGCTGCAGGAGGCTGGTGATGGAGGGGGTACCAACAGCGGGACGAATAGCAACACGGACGGCAAGACTACACCGAAAGATGTGGGGACTGCGTATCACATATGTCGAGAAGGTAGACCTTGACGTGGTGGATGGTCTGGTGAATCAGGCGAAACTGGAGGCGAAGATCTCGCTGAGGGAGGACCTGCGGGAACAGGGGGCCAAGGACTACGCGATCTGGATCGCCAGAGCGGAGGCCAATGCACCTGGAGCACCACGCAGTATCACCAAACCGCAGAGGTGGCAGGATAACGAGTCCATGAAGGACGGGGCCAAAGCTAACGACCCGAAGGAGAGCGTAGGCTTGAAGGCAATCGACTGTGAGAAAATGTGGAAGCGCACCAGCGGACGCGAGGAGGCAGAAGAGGTTCTGTAATTACAAGTAGCGCGAGCCCAAGAGGAGCCTACACCAAGCTGGGCGCTAGAGGAGTTCGACTCGAGGATGCAGGGCATCCCCAACAAGGACCAGGGCACCGACGCCATGATCATGGGCGACGCGCGGAGGTGCCGACGGAGGGCCGCGCAGCATTCGTGGACATGTACAGCAGGCGAGAGGAAGAAGTAGCGTGGCCGCAGCAGACAGGACAGGCATTGGACGCGAAGCAGGTCGACGAGACGGCGCCCATGTGAGGAGGAGATAGTGCATTGGCGCTACTCGCGTGGTTCGCAAGGACGCGGGAGCGATTGAGCAGGAACCAGATCAGGAAGTGGGCAAAGGGCGTGGAGGAGGACTTCGACGCCGCGGTGACAGGGAATCCTTGCCTCAGAGAAACCATGGCCAGGACCTTGGGAAACGAGACCTCTCAGGAACTGGGGGCGCACTCCGCTGGCGCGCCCGTGGGCGTCGAGCGCTTCTACGGCTCGCTGGCATTCGAAAAGGCGGCGAAGAGGGCATCGGAGTGCGGCTTCCCACCGCGGGTGCGATCGATGGCAATGTTACTGCACCTCGCGCCGAGGATGCCCAAGGGGGCAGGCGCGCGCAGCTTGCCACTATGCGCCCACGAGTGCGGGAGGCGGGATCATCCGGAGGGCGACCCGCGTGTTAACGAGGGAGTGGCTAGCCATGTCGCAAGTCGGCGGCGTTCAGCACGGGCTCCAACATGGCGGAGGGAGCGACCGAGAAGTTTAAGCCAATGGGCGTCACCATCAGGCCATCCACGGAAGGCATAGACCTCGGGCTGGATTGATCAGGGAAAACATGCAGGGGGAAGGGCGCGCACGGGGCAAGGAAGAGAAAAAAAGGCTTCAGAAGGTTTGCAGCGGGGGGCAGGTCATCGATCAGGGGTCAATGACCCAGGTGGGCTACGACGCCGGGGCCTAGGGCGCGAGCCCGACGGAGCTGAAGGCTATCAGGAGGAGGTGCGAGAAGTGGCTCGACAGGGCTTGGCCAGGACGTTGCCTGATCGCGCTGCTGGACCTGGGAGGGGCGGGCCCAGGGCGACGCCCAGGAACGAGATCCAGGCGTGGTGCGATCCTTGGTCGAGCCGCGAAGACTTTTGAGCACGAGTTAGACGAGCGCGGCCACGAGTGGGAGAAGGCGGTGACAAACACCAGGCTGCCATATGGCAACAGAGGAGAGGAGCGATCGGAGCACTCATCCTGCAGCCTTGGGAGGTTGACTGAGGCGCGAAAACAGCGGATTTCTGTGGGACGCAGAAGAAGGAGGCTGGCAACTTCAGCCAGATGAAGGGGGCGGCTGTCTCCTGGATGCCATCGCCGCGGACTTTCAGAAGAAGGCTTGGCAGCAGGCGAGCGAACGCCACAACGGAGAAGGATTGCAACGCGGAGCCGACGACTTCGATTTGGATATGTTTCTGAGGAGGCCAAGGAAGCGCGGGCAGTTTTAGATAATCGGCGCCCCACTTACAGCATCGCGCGCAAGCGCGCGGCCACGAGGGCGATTTCCATATCATCTGGAGCGACTGCAGCTACTGGGGCTCCCGCGCCTCAAATGGGGAACCGAGGACCTGGTGCGCCGCGCAGAGCAAGGGGGGGAAGATTGCGCGGCCTTCTGGCCGAGGGGCATCACGCCGAAATCATGGGAGACCCCACCAGCGCGCGAGACGGGGCACATTCCGAAGATAACGGGCAAGGCGGAGCACATCAACGAAACGGCCAACGGGGGAAACGCTGAGCGCGCAGAACGGGCAGGCCCGCACCGCTTGCGGAGACGGCAGCGGAGGAGCACGTGGAGATGATGCTCAGTATCGGCGTTGTGGTTGGAGTTGGGTGATCATGGAGATGGCCAGCGGGGCGTGGGCAGTAGCAGCAGAGGTTTCAGCGCAAGCCCCAGGACAGCGACAGTCAAACAGCTGGGCAGAGATCGGCGAATTCCTGGACTGCGTGGAGTCGACGATTGGCAATCTGGTGTTCCGCGCGAAGTTGGAGATCCTCTGCGAGGGCTGGCGCGGGAAGCGCTGCCTCACCGAGGGCTGCAAGGAGGCGCGCGGGAACCTGCGGGCGCGCGTCGGACGCGGACTAGCCGCGCGATGCTTCGCTGAAGTGGAGGTGCGGCACGCGAAAGGCCACGCGACCAAGGGGCTGGCGCAGGAGCGAGGAGTTCCACTCTCAGCGCGGCACGGAAGTCAACGAGCTAACGAGTTGGCTGGCGAGGCGGCGAAGGGGCGCGGGATCTCGGCGGCGCAGATGAGTTCCATCAGCTGGACAAGAGCGACCCCGCACCTGGTCGGGGCGCGGATGGCACAGGCACGCTCGGAGCTGTTTGAGAGGGCCAAGCCGGCACTGCGAGGGGGGGGACAAGGGCGAGGCCAATAACATAATAGCAATGGACAGCAAAGGGAAGGGCGTATCCGATGGGGGGCGGATGAAGGTGTCGCCGCGCAGGCTGGTCGCGAACGGCAGCCGGGCCACCTGCGCGATCTGCGAGGAATCGGTCGACAAGAAGCAGAAGTCCGTTGCAGCCAGATGGCGGCTGCGACCACGCCGTGGAGATGCAGCGGGGCGAGCCAGAACCGGGTAGGCGACGGCGACGCGATGGGCAGAGCCTGGCGTTGCGAGGTAAGCTCTCTCATGCGTCGCACTCGGTCTACTGGATCAAGAGCGCGGAGAGGTATTTCTGCTGGAACTGCGGGGCGGCCGCGGAGAAGCACCCGAGTTGCCGGACGGTGAACGCGCGCGGTGGCTGTCCAGAGGGGGGGGCCTTCGCAGCGCGCGCTGAAGACGCTTAGAAATAACATGGGCTAGCCACAGAAAACGAGATGGACAATGACGAGCTGGAGGCAGAGACATTAACGACGCGTCTTAAGTTCGAGGTCAATTACAGCGAGGAGCTCGGGAAGCAAGAGCCCGACTTGGATCCCTGAGCGGCGAGGCTGACGCCTGGGCGCCGCTAACTCTTGGTCTGCAGACTGTTAGTGACATTCTGAAACATGGGGAAGGGTGGTTGCGGTCCTAGTCCTTCTCGGGCCATGGATAACTAAATCCACCCAGGCGAGGTCGGCGTGCCATAATCTGAATCACCGCCATAGCCCCCCCTCCCCCGTCTACGACGAGAAACTCTATAAGCATAAGGCCGAGCGGGAACAGGGTGGCGCCTGCGCATAACTCCAGCAAGCCACGCTCTCCCAAGGGGACCCAGTCAACGCATGACCTCTTCCCCCGTCGGATCTGGGACCGAGCTCTTCGGTGGTGTACATGCAGAGCTGCGATTCCAGCGGTTGGGCAAGCGACGGGCGACGCGGACGCATTTCAGCGTTGTCTTCGCGAAGTTAGACAAGCGTGCTAAGTCCAACGGGAGGTCAGCGCCACCGCCAAGATGTTGCTGTCCAGGTCCAAGCATCAGGTCAGTGGTCAAGCCGCAGATTTCCGCAGGCATCATCAGCACGCAGAGCAGCTTTTTGCAAATGTCGAAAGTTGCTGCCCTTTGGGGCACGGCCGCGGCAGGCGAGAAGTCCGATTCGGCGAAGCGCCCCCTTTCAAACTTCTGGTTCTCCAAGCTTCATGTAACTCGTCGGTGATCGCCTTCCTCCAACATCGATGCAGCCTCCTCCGCATTTGTGAGCACTCCCTGCTGACCATCCTCAATTGCACCTTCACCTTTTCCTCATCGTTGCCTGGCTTCCCCCCGTCCTCGTCCACGGAGTTGCAGCAAAAGCCGGCGCTCCTTAGCTTGCCGACGGTAGCTGTCTGCATTGCCGGCAGGACTGCCACCAAACGACTTAGCAGCCTGATGTTGCAGAACACGAGTAAGGTTATCAAAATACGGATCAGACTTGCCAGCTCGAAGCACCTCCTTCAACTCATCAGCGCTGTCTTCCATAGCTTTAGCCGAACGCTCCAGGAACGTTTGTCGGGCCTCCTGGGATCCAATGGCTTCAGAGTTCCAGAATATGCGATCCCGAGGAAGCGCTCAGCCGGCAGAAACTCCCACCCAAGGTTACAATGACTAGGAACATCGCCCCGAGGATGTCGGAAGGATGCGCAGGTGCTGTGGAATGAGCCTCTTGAGAAGCCTTCCCGAAGAGCAGCAAAGTCAATCGCTGCAGTGGCCCACATGTATAATCGATTTGACTGCTCGAGTCATCATTTCCAAACCGAGTGTCTTCCAGCTTGTTTCGAAGCCCCAGGGGGGGGGGGGGGGGGGCGCAAATTATCCAGGCGAAGGACCCAACCATATGCAGTTGTCAGTGCCGCAATTGTGAGTATCTTCTTCGGTGGCGCCCACGAACCGCATGAGGGGCGTGCCGAAATGTGGCGGGGTACACAACGCGAAGGAAAACGATTGATCTAATTACGAGAGACTGAGATCGGGTGATATCTGAGCGCGAGTGAGTCTAAGTGTGAATGAGTCTGCGTGCGAGCGAATATATTTGCGCCAGTGCGATCATGGCTGCGCCTCGTGTGACTGTATATGAATGTGAATGGTCCGGGCATGCCTGTCTGTGCACTCGCGACGCTGAGCGTGGTCGCCGCAGACAGCTCCCGCGGAAACCCCTGCGGCAGCGCCCGCGCGCCGCGGCGCCCTTGTCGGCGCGCCCCGCGCGAGGATCGCGCCCGCTTCCTTCGCTTCTTTTCCCCCCTCTTTGCCCGCGCACTCCAAAGTCCAAAGCTGCGGGCGCAGCGCGGCGCGGAGTCCCCGCGGCGCGCGCCGGTCGCCCTGGGAGGGCCCCAGCGACGCGCGCGGGTCGTCCGCTGCGCGGAGCGAAGAGAGGTAGCTAGCTCGCTGGCTGGTTGATAGCGGGCAAGGCGCTGACCGCTGCGCAGAGCGACGACGGGCGAGCGAGGCGCAGGGAAGAACGCAGCGCGGAGTTCCCGCGACGCGCGTTGGTCGCCCCGGGGGGGTCCCAGCGACGCGCGTGGGTCGTCCGCGGCGCGAGGCCGAACAAGTAGTTGGGCAGTCGAGAGAAGGCGCGGCTCGGGGGGGCGCTCCTCAGGTCAGGCCTCGCGGATAAACTCGGTGAAGCCGAGTTCCCTGGCGAGGGCCGTCGCCTCCCTCCAGCGCCGCTTCGCGCGCGCCGCAAATTGCTCCAGCTGCTTCCGCAAGCCTTCCAGCGGCCCTGCCGGGAAGGACTCGATGCGCGGCGCCCGCGTGAGCAGGAGGTCCTCGTGGCGCGTGGCGCGCGAGAGCAGCGCATAGAGCTCCAGCCACCAGTCGTCGTCCTCCTTCATGCCGTTCCCGACCTCGTGGCGGCCGCAGTCCAGGATCACGCCTGGGCGACGTCGGCCGACGGAGCAGCGCGCCGGACAGCCGATGGCCCAGGGCGAGAGTCCACAGGACCGAGAGATGGTCCGGCTGCAGACCGCTCGCGCCCAGTAGGTTCGGCTGTAGGGTGTGCCGAAACGTGTGAGGGGTGTGCCGAAAATGGCGTGGTTGGCGCATGCGGGCGGTGGCACTGGGGCCTTCGGTGGAGCTCCCTATGGGGCCACGAAACGTGTAAGGAGTGTGCCAAAATGGGTGTGGGGGACGCATGCGGGGCCTTCGGTGGAGCTCCCTATGGAGCCGCGAAACGTGTGAGGGGCGTGCCGACATGGGTGTGGGGGGCGCATGCAGGCGGTGGCGCTGGGGCTTTCGGTGGAGCTCCCTTATGAGGCCACGAAGCGCGTGAGGGGTGTGCCGAAGTGGGCGTGGGGGACGCATGCGGGCGGTGGCACTGGGGCCTTCGGTGGAACTCCATCTGGGGCCACGAAACGTGTGAGTGGTGTGCCGAAGTGTGTGTGTGTGTGTGTGTGTGTGTGTGTATATATGTCTCTGTGTGTGTGTGTGTGTGTGTGTGTGTGTGGGGGGGGGGGGGGGGGGCATGCGGGCGGTGGCAGTGGGGCCTTCGGTGGAGCTCCCCATGGGGCCACGAAGCGTGTGAGGGGTGTGCCTACATGGGCGTGGGGGACGCATGCGGGCGGTGGCAGTGGGGCCTTCGGTGGGGCCCCCCATGAGGCCACGAAACGTGCGAGGGGTGTGCCGAAGTGGGTGTGGGGGACGCATGCGGGCGGTGGCACTGGGGCCTTCGGTGGAACTCCCTGTGGGGCCACGAAACGTGTGAGGGGTGTGGCGGGATGGGTGTGGGGGACGCATGCGGGCGGTGGCAGTGGGGCCTTCGGTGGAGCTCCTTATGGAGCCACGAAGCGTGTGAAGGGTGTGCCGAAATGTGTGTGTGTGTGTGTGTGTGTGTGTGTGTGTGTGTGTGTGTGTGTGTGGGGGACGCATGCGGGCGATGGCACTGGGGCCTTCGGTGGAGCTCCCTATGGGGCGACGAAGCGTGCGAGGGATGTGCCGAAATGTGTGCGTGGGGGGGGGCGCATGCGGGCGGTGGCACTGGGGCCTTCGGTGGAGCTCCCCTATGGGGCCACGAAGCGTGTGAGGGGTGTGCCGACATGGGCGATGATGCTGGTGATGAGTCGTGATGATGATGAAAACGCTGATGATGATGATGATGATGGCGATGATGATGATGATGATGATGATGATGATGATGATGATGATGATGATGATGATGATGATGATGATGATGATGATGATGATGATGATGATGATGATGATGATGATGATGATGATGATGATGACGTTGATGGTGATGATGATGACGATGGTGATGAAGACGGGAGGAGAGAGGAAGGGGGAAGAGGACGAGGAGGGGGAGAGGAGGAGGAGAAGGACGCGGGTCGCCGTCTCTTCAAAACGAGGTCCCAATACCACAGGATGGCTGGGAAAAAGGAAGAACATCCCAAAATCATCCATCAGGTCCCGAACGAGTTCCCAGGTTTTCCAGCGAGCTGCCCTTTAGATGCTAGACTATCATGAGCAATATTCGTACCATTGTGCACCCAGCTAGCTCCCCTCGTTCTCCGGGGTCCCAATCCCATTGTTCAAATCTAGACGCGAACAGCGGGAAGATTCGAGAGTGTTGCGTCAGTTCCATGAGGATAGAGCGCAGACAGTTCACAAGCTTACTAGTTGCTGCCAAATAGGTGGGCCTGCCTTGAAACCCACGGGGACGATGAGAAAAATATGAACCCACAACTGCTAGATTCGAGCGCCCCTTCCACGATTAGCCAGGGCAGGTGGTGGAAGCCAATGCCGAACGAGGTGAGCTTCGCGAAGCCCGCAGCTGATGGTGATGGCAATCCTCGTGGACCGATTTGTGAACAAGCCGCGCCCAGAGGCCGCGTCCAGCAGCAGGATGCCCTGGACCTTGCGCCTCACGAGAGGGCTCTCGGGCGATGCGCGAGGGTGAGTGCCGCCAAAGATGTTCAAGTGGAAGGACTTTAGCCGTCGTGGTGATCACCTCTTCCTGACGCTCACGAGTGTTGAAACGGAGAGGTTTTCAATGCAAGAGCTTCAGCAAAGGCATGAAGATGGCCACGCACGGCATAGTAACCGTCTGGCCGTGTGTAAGGTACGGTCAGCAGAAGTAATTGCTTTCATCACATATGGAGGTGGGGGGTGATAGTATGTGACTCGCTCCACCGACGACGGGGAGGAGGAGGAGGAGGAGGAGGACAACGACGCCGAGGACGAGGACGACGTCGAAGGCGCGTCGACGACGACGGCTACGACGGCGTCGACGACGACGCCGAACGCGCGTCGACGTCGACGGCGGCGAGGACGGCGACGACCCCTCCGAGCGATCCGCGGTCGCGGGCCGCGGCCCCCGCCAGGAGGCCCCGGAGCGGCAGGCGGGCCCCCTCCTCCCCTCCTCCGCCTCCTCCTCCGCCTCCTCCTCCTCCTCCTCCTCCTCGTCCTCCTCCTCCTCCTCCTCCTCATCCTCCTCCTCCTCCTCATCCTCCTCCTTGCGCGCTCCCCGGCGGGCCGGCGTGCTTTGTGCAGCCGGCGTCGTGCGTCGCCGCCCCCGCAGCAGCCACCGCCGTCTTCGATCGACGCCGCCGTCGGCGTCGGCGTCGATGTCGTCTTCGGTCGACGCCTTCGCCGTCGGCGTCGTCGTTGATGTCCTCGTCGGCGTCGTCCTCCTCCTTCTCCTCGTTTTTCGCCTCTTCTGCTCCGCGCGTGGATGATGACGATGAGGAGGGGAGGAGGAGGAGGAAGAGGAGGAGGAGGAGGAGGAGGAGGAGGAGGAGGAGGAGGAGGAGGAGGGAGGAGGAGGGAGGAGGAGATGAGATTTGAGGCCTTGCAGGAGGAATTATATTTGAGCGACGAAGATGATGATGATGATGATGATGATGGTGGTGGTGATGATGATGATGATGATGATGATCATTCTGATGACGAGGTGGACGATGGTGACAATGGTCACGACGATGCTGATGGCGTGCACGATGACGAGTATGACGACGACGATGACGACAATGACGAGGATTGAGATGATGATGATGATGATGATGATGATGAAGATTATGATGACGATGGTGATGATGATGATGATGATGATGGTGATGGTGATGGTGATGGTGATGATGGCGATGATGGTGCCGATGATGATGATGATGATGATGATGATGATGATGATGATGATGATGATGATGATGATGATGCTGATGCTGATGCTGATGCTGATGCTGATGACGATGATGACGATGATGATGACGACGATGACGATGACGAAGTGCCTGAAAGGAATGGGCTACGAGGATGGTGCTGCGTTTCGCTATTGGCATGGGCTCTTGCGAGCAATGAAGGTAAGCAACCGGCATGCTCCTTGTGATTCATGCAGAAGTTTAGAAAGTTGATCTTGCGAATGCAATTCTACATAGTATCCAAGTCCATTCCGCTGACCGAGGATACGATAAGCTGGTATCCTGAGCTATGTTCCCACGTGTACCCGGACCCCCTGGGACCAGATCTCGTGCCGCTTAGCGTGTTTTTTGGGGATCTGTCGGACCCGGTCAATGTCGATGCCTTGGGGCTTTCCATCGACGACTGGGAGAATTGGGAGCAGTCTCACCAGTGGAAGCTGGACCTCAATGAGATCGCAAGTATGGCCCACCTTGCCGGGATTGGTATCGGGTTCAAAAGGATTGAGGACGCCCCTGGGTTGGCTTTCGAGTTCGAGAAAGTGGGAAGAGAAAAGGCATTGAGGCTGCCTCTGAGGAAACTAATGTGCTCGTGTGGAACCCACTCCGATGCGCGATATCAATTGCTTCACGACGTTCGGGGAAGTTGGATACGAGTCCTGCAAATGACCCCTGGTCGAATCGGGGAAAGTTCTGGTCGATGCGTTTCGCGAAACGGCAGTTGAGCTTCGCAAAGATCCCATCGAGAAACTTGAAGACGAGAGCAAGTATTTCGCGTCTGTTGCAATGACAAGGTACTTTTCGAGACAGCCTGGCTCACAATGTTTGAAAGAGCGCGCTCGTGGCGCACTTTTCAGTAAAAGGGGGTCTCCAGCTTCAAGCTACCCCTTCCTCTCCATTGGAAACGGAGGGGGTCTTCCGAAGCTCCCCCCCCCTCTCCCCCCCTTTTGTGATCATTTTTTAGATGGGGGGGGCCCTAGCGATAGGGGGGGGCTTGGTAGCCACTCCCCCTCCCCCCCTTTTCGGGGCCCGGGGTCAGCCTGGACTTCCCTTTCAAAGGGGGGGGCTTCCGAAGCTACCCCCCCCCCTTTTGTTTGGAGTTTGTAGCTCGGGGGTCTCTGGCAAAAGGGGGGGGCTTGGAAGCTACCCCCCCCTCGGGGCTTCGAAACCACCCCTCCTTCTGCTGGCTTTGCCAGCTGGAGGGCCCTGGCTGAAGGGTGTTTCGAAGCTACTTTTCTTCTATGGTTTTCGGCGCCCCACTGATTTGCTGTGTACTTATGATTTTCGATGTCTCTTTGAATTTCGGCGCGTTTTTGGGCCTTTGGTGCTTCCTTGGTTTTCGGCGCTCCTTTGGTTTTCGGCGCTCCTTTGGTTTTCGATGCTCATGTGGTTTTCAGCGCCCTCTTGGTTTTCGACGCCCTTTTTCTCGGCGCATCGTTGGTTTCGGCGCCCTCTTCGGTTCCGGCGCTCCTTTGGTTTTCGCCGCCCTCTTGGTTTTCGCCGCCCTGTTGGTTTTCGGCGCTTCTTCTGTTTTCGGCGCCGTTTTGGTTTTCGGCGCTCTTTGGTCTTCAGCGCCTCTTTGGTTTTGGGCGCCCTTCGGCTATCTGGGCGCCTTTAGTTTTGTCGCCATACTTGTTCGACGCCCTTTTGGTTATCGGCGCGTGTTTGGTTTTTCGGCGCCTTTGGGCCATTTCGGCGCATCGTTGGTTTTCGGCGCTCCTTTGGTTTTCGGCGCCTCTTTGGTTGTGACGCCCCTTGAGTTTTCGGCGTTCCTGCGGTTTTTAGCGACCCTTTGGTTTTCGGCGCCCTTTCTTCGGCGCCCTGTCCGTCTTCGGAGCTTCTGTTGTTTTCGGCGCCCCTTTCGCTTTCGGCGCCCTTTGAGTTATCGGCGCCAATTTGTTTTTCGGCGCCCTTTTGGTTTTCGGCGCATCGTTGATTTTCGACGCCCCCTTGGTTTTCGGCGTTTCTTTTGATTTTCGGCGCTCATGTGGTGTTCGGCGCCCCTTTGGTTTTCGGCGCCCTGTTGGTTTTCGGTGCTCCTTTGGTTTTCGGTGTCCTTTTGGTTTCTGGCGCATCTTTGGTTTTCGGCGCATCTTGTTGCGTTCGGTGCTTTGTTGGTCTTCGTCCTCCTCTTGGTTTTCGGCGCCCCCTTGGTTTTCGGCGCTCCTTTGGTTATCGGCGCCCTTTCGGTTTTCGGCGCTCCTGTGGTTCTCGGCGCCTTTGTGGTTTTCGGCGCCCCTTTGGTTTTCGGCGCCCTTTCTTCGGCGCCCTGTCCGTCTTCGGAGCTTCTGTTGTTTTCGGCGCCCCTTTCGCTTTCGGCGCCCTTTGAGTTATCGGCGCCAATTTGTTTTTCGGCGCCCTTTTGGTTTTCGGCGCATCGTTGATTTTCGACGCCCCCTTGGTTTTCGGCGTTTCTTTTGATTTTCGGCGCTCATGTGGTGTTCGGCGCCCCTTTGGTTTTCGGCGCCCTGTTGGTTTTCGGTGCTCCTTTGGTTTTCGGTGTCCTTTTGGTTTCTGGCGCATCTTTGGTTTTCGGCGCATCTTGTTGCGTTCGGTGCTTTGTTGGTCTTCGTCCTCCTCTTGGTTTTCGGCGCCCCCTTGGTTTTCGGCGCTCCTTTGGTTATCGGCGCCCTTTCGGTTTTCGGCGCTCCTGTGGTTCTCGGCGCCTTTGTGGTTTTCGGCGCCCCTTTGGTTTTCGGCGCTACTTTGGTTTTTCGGCGCCGTTTTGGTCTTCGGTGCCCTTTTGACTTTCGGCGCTTCTTTGATTTTCGGCAGTGGTTGGGTTTTCGGTGCCGTTTTTGCTTTTGGCGACCCTTTGGTTGTCGGCTCTCTATTGGTTTTCGGCGTATCTTTGGTTTTCGGCGCCGTTTTGGTTTTCGGTGCCCGTTCGGTCTTCGGCGTTCTTCCGGTTTTCGGCGGCGCCCGCAAACTTTCCGTTTCCGGTGGCTCTGTGGTGCTCGGCGCTCTTTTGGTCTTCGGCGCTCCTTCCTTTAGCCAAGGGGGGGAGGGGGGCTTCCAGTCCCCCCGCGCCCCCCCCTTTGGCTTAAAAGGGGGGTGGTCTTCTGGCAGGGGAGTGTCCGCGATTGTTCCCGGCAGGCCACTGCATAGCGATGTCACGCTTCGTGTCGATTGCCACACCTGCCGAGTTTGCGGAGTCTTCACGGTGAGTGGTCTTGCGCCTTCTCACTCCCTTCAGCATTTGACGCGACTTCTCGCGTCCGCGGCCGTCGTTGGCTGAAAACGAGCGCAGTTGAGGGGGGCTCTTCATACAGGCGGGGATGTGTAAATATATAGTGTATATATGTATATGTGTATATATATACACATACACATGATTATATACATTAGATGCATGTCGAGAGAGCGAGAGAGAGAGAGAGAGAGAAAGAGAGGGAGATAAGGAGGAGGTGGAACGCGGGCGAGGAGGGGAGAGCGATCTTTTCGTGACGCAGGCCGGCACCGGCGCGGACAAGCAGGCTCAGTAGCCCGACTGGCGGCCGCCGTAGGCAAGGGCTATCAGCTCCGAAGGAGCCCCACTAGAGCATAGCTGCACTGTGGCGCCGGCTCCGCGCGTTGACTCGCCAGAGCGATGTCGCGCTCGCTCGCGGCAGTGAGTGCAGAGGCCAGGGTGTTCCGGCGGCGCGCGTTCGACGTGCTCTGGCGTCCTCGTCGGCTCCTGAAGGCTGTCCAGCCTCGGGGTGCTTTCCGGCAGCTGCGCCTCGTCGAGAGCGTTCCGGGGGGGGCCCGGACGGTACCGAGCGGCTTCCGGAGAGTCGAGCCGTGGCCCGGAAACCGGAGCCCCTTCCATGCGGCGGCGAGGCGAGGGGGAATATTCAAAAATAGTCAAAAATAGTAAGGGGACTATCCAAAAATAGTCAAAAATAGTCAAAAATAGTAAGGGGACTATTTTTGGTTTATTTTTGGGCATCTTTGGAATATTGGTTTGAGCATCTTTTGTGTTTCGTCCAAAATCCCCCTGTAGGGGGACAGGTCCGACATAAAATTGAGGGTGCAGGCGGCTTCTCGGAAGGCGGCGGGGCTTCTCAGAAGCCTGCTGGAGAAGCCCCCCGCGTCTTCGGAGGAGGCTTAAGTCGGGCCTGTCCCTCTACGGGGGGAATATTCACAAATACCCAACGAATAGTCAGGGGACTATTTGTTGTGTATTTTTGGGCATCTTTGGAGCATGTTTTGAGCATCTTTTATTTTTCGTCCAAACTCCCCTTTGAGGGGGACAGGCCCGACATAAAACTGAGGGGACAGGCGGCTTCTCAGAAGGCGGCGGGGCTTCTCATAAGCCTGCTGGAGAAGCCTCCCGTGTCTTCGGAGGAGGCTTAAGTCGGGCCTGTCCCTCTACAGGGGGAATATTCAAAAATAGTCAAAACATAGTATGGGGACTATTTTTGGTTTATCTTTTGGCATCTTCGGAATCTTGTTTGAGTATTTTTGTCGTCCAAGCTCCCCCTTTAGGGGGACAGGCCCGACATACAACTGAGGGGACAGGCGGCTTCTCAGAAGTCGGCGGGGTTTCTCATAAGCCTGCTGGAGAAGCCTCCCGTGTCTTCGGAGGAGGCTTAAGTCGGGCCTGTCCCTCTACAGGGGGAATATTCAAAAATAGTCAAAAAATAACTGGGGGACTATTGTTTGGGTATGTTCGGGCATCTTTGGAATATTTTTTCAGTATTTTCGTTTTCGTCCAAACTCCCCATCTAGGGGGACAGGCCCGACATTCAACTGAGGGCACAGGCGGCTTCTCAGAAGTCGGCGGGGCTTCTCATAAGCCTGCTGGAGAAGCCTCCCGTGTCTTCGGAGGAGGCTTAAGTCGGGCCTGTCCCTCTACAGGGGGAATATTCAAAAATAGTGAACAAATAGTCAGGGGATTATTTGTTGTGTATTGTTGGGCATCTTCGGAGTAGTTTTTGAGCATCTTTTATTTTTCGTCCAAGCTCCCCCTTTAGGGGGACAGGCCCGACATAAAACTGAGGGGACATGCGGCTTCTCAGAAGGCGGCGGGGCTTCTCAGAAGCCTGCTGGAGACGCCTCCCGTGTCTTCGGAGGAGACCTAAGTCGGGCCTGTCCCTCTACAGGGGGAATATATACAAGAATAGTCTGTTAACATAGTCTGGGGACTATTTTTTGAGTATTTTCGGGCATCTTTGGAGTATTGTCTGAGCATCTTTTATTTTTCGTCCAAACTCGCCCTGTAGGGGGACACGCCCGACTTAAGGCTTGTTCTACCAGGAGGCTGGATCGCTTCCAAGAAGCATGCCGCCCTCTTGGAAAGGCTGGCCCTCCGACCTCGGCGCGTTTCCTTCGCCGCCAAGGTGGTCACCCCAACACTTTCCCGTGGGAGGAGCGACGCAGCGAGGAATCGGGGGCGGAAAAGAGGGGGGTGATGACTGGGGGGGGGTGGATATCATGGCGTGGGCCATGATATTTCCCCAGATTTCATGACGCCCTTTCTTACTTCATTACGTCCCTGGCCCCCCCGCTGGGCCGCGCACATGCCGCCGGTCATGATTTGCACCCCCCCCTCTTGGACACCCCCCTCTTGGCCGCTCCCGAAGGAAGGAGTGGAGGATGAAACGGCGGAGCGCAGCAGGGGTTACCAGCCTAGAACGTATCCCCATCCCCAAGATTGACACGCCAAAAGGCGATGACAACCTTAGGGATCCGCCTTCAAAAAATAAGGGAATCCCTAAGACTGGCATCGTGATGAGGAGGTGCCCAGCATAGGGATAGGAACATGTTCCAGGCTTGTAAAGGGTTTGAAGCAGAGAGGCCGAGGGGAGAGAGCGAGGAAGCGGGGAGGAAGCCGGAGGGGTGGACCAGAAGTGGAGCCGCTCCGTGTGTGGAGAAGCAGGGTGCAGGGAGGGATGGTCTTCGGCGCATCTTTGGTCTTCAGCGCCGTTTTGGTCTTCGGTGCCCTTTCGGTCTTCGGCGTTCTTCTGGTTTTCGGCGCCCTCTGGTTTTCGCACCCTTTCGGTTTTCGGGGGCTCTTTGGTTTTCGGCGCTCTTTTGGTCTTCGGCGCTCCTTCCTTTAGCCAGGGGGGGGAGGGGGGCTTCCAGTCCCCCCCCCCTTTGGCTCAAAAGGGGGGTGATCTTCTGGCAGGGGAGTGTGATGGTTGAGGGGTGTGGGAAGAGCAGGGGAGGGGAAGTGCGTGCCCTGGTGTGGCCGCGGACTGTCGGAGCGACGTGCACGTCGCGCCGTGGGGGGGCGCTCCCCCCAGCCGGCGGGGAGGCA